ATGATAATGTTCACAATTTTCAATAATCTGGAAAGTACGTTATTGTAAGAACATATCTCCAGCATCTCCATTATGGGAATTACACCGTGGAATATTATGAAATGGTTTTTGAGGTTTTTATGTTCAATTAACAGTTCGGTTATTTGGGTACACAAAAACACCAATCGTTCTTCGCTCTCACTTGGCTGCAGTGCACTGATAAGCTCTTCCAAGCGACCAGACGCCCGCACAAACTTGTCCATGGCAATGTGCGTATCCATATCCATTTCATAATAGTTCTCTTCCATCTCTGCGAATGGATCGTCTTCATCACTTACATCATCCCTCAACCAACTGTTACTTTTGTTCGATAAGCGCGTATTCAATTTCAAAGTGTGATTTGAGCCGTCTTCGTCATCCTCAGATTCATTACGGAAAATGTTGTTGTAATCATCATCATCGTCGGATTCTCGATACTGATATATCTCACTAGGACTTGGAGAATCATCATATAGCCCGGAAGGTGATGACGGCGGAGAGGTGAGCGAATCCGGTATCTCAATTTTGGGGTCCTTTTTGAAAAGAGGAGTTCTTCTTGACGAAGGTGTTGTTGCAGTTGCTGAAACAGTTGAAGATACAGATTTTTGCGTAGGTAGGGGAAGTAGCGGCGACTTGTTGATTGAAGACTCGTGAGTATAATTTGCGCTATGGGCACGAGCATGTTGCTTGAGCGTTTTTATGACCGGTTGTACCGGTCTGGTAGAGATCTTTTGTTTGTCATCAATCGGTACAGGTGATTTTGCCAACGCTGTGCCGTTGTTCTTTTTAGCATTTTCCTTTGGACTCATAATTTTCTTTGGTAACCGAATGATGGTATCCTGCGTCGACTCCCAATTACTACTCATCCCCCCGGACGTCAATCTAACCGTATCCTCTATTACAGTTGCTTCCGTGAACTTTTCTTCCTCTTTTTGCACTTTATTGACCATCGGTTTCTTTCCCTTATCCTTATTTTTTTTTTCATTTTTGTTTTGAGCAAGTCGTATCGTTTGATCCTCTTCAGATGATTTATGACCTAATTTCCGATTTTGATGTTCAGCAATTTTGGAGTATGGTATTGAATCCACAAAATCATCATCCCAATTATTATTTTCTTCATCTTCAGGTTCAACCGTGACCGACAGGCGATTGCTTTGTTGAGCCGAAGGAGTGAATAGAAGATTCGAATTTAAAGCCATTATCTTTTCCCAATTATTATCACTACCACCGTTAACATTATCAATATTGCCCAATGATATTTTCGGAGTCGGAGAAGACGAGCCGCTGAATTGTAAAGACTGTTGAAATTGGATACGTGGCATAGTGGCCGCTAATCTTAAGGATTCACTTCTCCTCCTCCCGTGTGGTGTTTGAGGCGGATTCCAATGGGAACCTTTTAATGCCTCATTCCACTTTTTAACGCTTTTTACCACTTCATCATAATCAGTTGATACCCTCGGCTCCAGTCTCGTGTCAGCAGCCTTCTTTTGAACATTTGTTATCCAGGGATGTCTTAGCAATTTCCTAGCAGACACACGAAGATTACTATCCTTTTGAAAGCATTGCATTAAAAAATCCTTTACAATGGGTGAAGCACTTTCTGGTAAAGGAGGATGCTCGTCCTGCACAATTCGAAATAGAGCAGGCA